TATATATATATATATATATATATATATATATATATATATATATATATATATATATATATACTTATGCGCGTACATATAAGAAATGGAGGCATTTGACATAGCTGCAGTGTGTTTCTCATAAGAAACGCGATTTAAGCGAAAGTAAGTCTATCGTTTTCAGAACCCCGAGTATGCGCTGGTACACTATCTCAACACTGAAACCGAAATTAATTTAAAGAGTGCCATGGACAAGATTTCGGCTTGTATGAAGTTGAATAGCTTAAACTTAAACAAGCAACAACTCTTGGACCAGATTTCTCCGATATGTAAGTTTTTGATCATATTGCCAGTTTTTTTTGTCATATTGCCTGGTTTTAGAATGTAAACAATCTCTACTTATTGCTTTAAATTATGAAAGTTTTTAAAAAGTTTTCACTATTCCGTTCCAGAATTCATGTTTCGTTCAAGCATTAAGAAATTTAAAAGTTTGATTTTACCATGTAAACGTATATTATTCATACATAATTATTCATTCCTCCCAACGGTTTACCACCTCATCGTGGCTGGGAGGAGTTTCTTGGTGTCGCGCTACGATGTACAGGGAGGATTTGTCCCCTCGTCAGGGTGTCCCAAGCTGAGGAGTCTGACGTTTCGATCTTGCAGCCCAGATAAAAGTAAACCAATATCGGGCTCGACTACCGTCCTGGTATCAAACTAGTCGCATGGTGGCAACTCTCTCCCTGTGGTGGAGACGGCCTAGGGCAGACTTTGGCTAGACTGACGGCGGAACTCCAGGCAACCACAATGGCTGAACCAGCAGAACTCCAAAAAAGTGGAAAATATGCTGAGCCCGCACAACCAATGAAAATGGGCCATCAAAGTATGCAAGTAATTTTTCATTATTTCTTCACAGCCATGAGAATGTTTCAATTTGGTCATTTATGTGTTCGTCTTCAGATGCCAATATGCTATGTCAGCAAGATATTGCCACTCTATGTGAAGAAATCTGCAATATGTTACAGAATGCTCAACAAAATGAACTCGATACAACGGTTTGTTTACTTCATACACTTCAAATATAGGCAGTTCTCTACATGTCAGTTTTAAATATTGTGACTTCAAAAAAGGTTATGAACCATATTATCTTTCCCCGTACATGAATAATCGCCGAAAATGGTCAACGCATTTTCGAATATATGTCCTTGCATACTTATTTAGACACTTAGGCACTAAGATGGCCCGTCTTCTCTTGTGATGCGCGCCCTAGCGTAATGCCCATTTTTGCTGGTTTAGCCGTTTTGGTGCTCTGGACTCCCGAGGTCAGGTAAATCAAAAGTCGTTACCACCACAGGCAGTCGTCACTCTTATCGATCAGTAGGAGATTTGCCGCCACGCGACTAGTTAGATACTGGGACGGTGGTGGATCCTGGTATTGGTTTACTCTTAGCTGGGCTCCTGATGGGAACGCCTGACCCGTTCTCAGCTCGGGAGACTGCTGGAGAGATGAATCCACCGCTGTGCATCGCACCCCCACAGCCAGGAACACCTCTCAGCCACGAATATATGTTCTGTGGTTGTTAATTTAAGGAGGCTGAAAACAAGTGCACCAAGGATGGCTAACAATAAAGTAGGAGGGAAGTTTTTTTTCCCAAAGCCAATTTGTATATTAATACAGGCAGGTAGACCTTCTTCTAGTATGGAATCAAATGCTATATCCTACATCACTCATTCGGCTTTACATCGCTTAGAGAGAAGGAATTCATGCAGCTCGGAATTCCGTCGTGGTCTCTCTTCGTCAGCTTTACGTCGACAGCCTTCGACGTATAGTGATTGTCTCGATGTGATTCATGGAGGTACTAGTAGTTTTCCCATTTGAGTCCTCGTTTTCTTCTATATTTTGCACTTAATTTGATTATGTTTTGTAAGAGTTTCATTTTCTGAACACTGTATCCCAAAAACTGTTTGCTAAGTCTCCCTCATTTCATTTTCTTATTGCATTGGGTGGCTTATACGGCTGTTGCGTAAACCCTTATTCTATTTTTTTCTGCTTAAGTTTTGAATAACACACTGGAAACTTGTGTTCTAGGTGCATCAGTCATAAATAACACTGTGGAAGGTAAGCTTTCACGGGAGACATGTGCTGGTTATTCTGCGGATGGACGTTCTCATTCATGCGAGACATATCGTAGCAGCAATCAGGACGAAGAGAAGGTGAGATAGGTGGTTACAGTTTCCATGTGAAGGAGTCGTTGTACACTGTTGTTCCTGGTCGACGATGGCTGACATTTCGGGGCTGAGTTGGACTCCACTCACAACATCACGACCTTGACGAAGGCGAAATCGCTGAAACTTCAGCCATCGATCAACAGCAACAACGAGTGCTGGAGCAGTTGTTTCTTGTATTACAACTCTGTGTTGTAGTCGTCAAGTGTTCAACCATCACAACCCGTTTCTCAGTCCTCATTTTCATCGGATAATCAGCTGTCTACTTATATAGCCCCTATCACAGAGATGACACCTAACAGCGGATGTGTTAAGGTTAGAGTTGGTTTTTTGTAAAGGTTTCGTAGTTGCTTCAAAAACTATGTGCATGGTTTTTTTTATGTGTTGTAGGGTGGAACCAAAGTGTTAATAGTCGGCGGTTGGTACATGAAGGGCCATAACTATTCTGTAATGTTTGGTGAGAAACGTGTGCCTGCCAGACTGATTCAAGTGGGAGTTCTGTCACTCATAGTACCACCAAGTAAGATTGATTTTCGTTTGTGCGTTAAGATATTTGCCATTTTGTTCTAAGGCCTCTTTTTTCTATTTTATTAGATTTGCCAAGTTTGGCCCTTAGGGTCCGACGTGAGCTGGTTTCCACTCACATTGTGCGAAAACAGCGGGCGGTTTCAGCTTTAAACCAACGTGTCTCAGCTCAGAGTGAACTTTATTAATGCGTTAAAAAGTATTGGAATCTACAAATTCCTGCCTCAGAATGAAAGCTCTCTTGTTTTGCCGCAGTGGCATTCTGATTTCTAGAGCCCACCAAACTTACGTTATGCACTTTTTTCGTCGAGGCTCGTATTTCGAAAATAAAAGGAATTCAACAAGCAGTATTTCGATCATGTGATAACGGTGATCTCTCCAAGTGTGTTGCTGATGTTCGCAGTGGCCGGAATCTTTTTTGGGTTTTTGAAAACATGGATTTCGTCTTCAGTTCTTTCGGGTACGTTACTTTAAAACAACTTTGAGGACCACGTAACAGTTTCGAACAACCACATTTGAATAGATAGAGCAAGTCTTCTATGAAGTGGTCAATTTTTAACTATTTGATTTTTCTAATTGCCGACAATTTATTAGCATTTCTGAGAAACCACTGTCGGTTCCTAAGGGTTGAGCAGCTTCACTAAACAACGAATGGTGGTTTCTTCATCCGAGTTTTTAGCGTCCGTTTGCGGTGTCATTCCGGTTCGTGTGCTTTGCAATGGCCATGTCATCTCAACAAGCGTTGACTTTACTTACACTAATGATCGCGATGAAGTAACAACGTCGTCATTACGACAGTGCATGGTCGATCGACTGCATTTCATAGCTCATGCTTTTGGAGCGATCGACAAGCTGGAGGTTGCTGTTGTTCGTACTGCTGTAACAAACAATTTAATTCTGAGCATTGGGTTAATGAAGTATTGCCTTACCATTTGTAATCACAGTTTTAGCTTTTTATTTACTACAATTTTTTTTCTTTAATGGCTGGGTATGACGTGCAGTACAACTACCTGGATGCTGGAATATCCATGCTGTACTCTGCCAGTAAAAAAAAGAAGAAGAGAACAGGCGGTAAATAACTAGCATTGTGATTTCGACTGCAACTTCAGCTTAACGGAGTTTAAATTCCGATTTCTGGTACCTAGATGATTCCTGTTGGTGATTGATTGCTGATAGCAGCGACAAAGTAAAAATATGACCGAGAGGAAGGCAAAGCAAAGGCCTCTGTTGGTGAGGTCGATAGCACATGAACCCGGTATGGGTAATCGCAAGTTCGAAGCCCAGCTGTGGTTTCGAGTTTTGCTCAAATCTTAGCACCCTTGTAGCTTTACCAGTGTAGTTTACTAGATTATTGGGTGTCGTCGTATTCTGAGATCTCTACTAAGATTCTATTGTTTATAATGGATGTCAAATTTCTATTATTCTCGAGTTTATTCGTCTATTGTACCACTGAGACATCTCACTTCAGTTCTGCCATCCGCACCAGACTGTTTTTCTGAGGCCACTTTGGTGTAACTGTATTGTTAGGTATTTAATTCTGTTCCATTTGCAGTGGGTGACACCTGTTGATGAGAACTCCGTTCTGTCGTTATTGAGAAGTTTAACTTCATTTCATCTGTCAATACCTTCGATTTTCTCCAGTCATCCGTCACTTCCGTCAAGAACAATCTTGCATATTGCTGCTGCATTGAACTATGATCAAGTTATTGAATGCGTGCTTGCGTGGAGGTATGAGTATCTACAGTTAAGATTTGTTAAAGTGTCATTCCTTCAGATTCTTACCTGAGAAAATGGCAAGGTTTTCCAACCACATACGTAGTTGGTGTGAACGTTTGTGTTTGATTGAAGATATCCTAGGAAGCTTCACTGATTTATTGCAATACATTTTCCGTCTAGAAGCGGTGTTTGGCTGTTCCTTTAAAGGACTAAAGTCCTCAGTGTTGATCAACCCCTGAGGGATGTGTCATGCATTCGACTTCGTTAAGCATCGTTGGAGGTGAATGAATGCATATCTGGGCTTCACAATGACTCGTGGTGGCCTACCGATGTATCGAGCCAGTGCTGCTCTCTCTCCAGACAAGTCTGGTACCAATTTACCGAGCTCCGAGGAATTGAAGGCTTGGTGAGCCCTGGGCGCGGCGATCGATTCCATGTGTGTGTTGCGGGCACCTCTCACAACTGCGCTACATACGCCCTTTGTATCCCTAATAGCAGATAACATGCTTTGTGAATCTATTAAACAAAACAAAAAGAAAAAACGTCACGCATAAGAAGTTTTTCAGAAGTAAACTGTCATTTTGTCGAGAATTTGATCCTCTTGCTCGCGATTGTGAAGGCCGTACTCCCCTGCATGTTGCTGTTGCGGCAGGTCATGTGGCATCTGCAAGGTTCGTTTATAATGTATTCAAAAAGTGTGCAATAATACTGAAATGTCCAACCTGCTTACACAATTCATCCAAAGACAAACCACGACAAGATAGTGGTTTCTCAGATGCATCATTCTTTTCTAGAAGTTGAGAAAGCAGTACGACTTCCGTCGTTTTAACAGTTCTGTTGGTAGTCGATGTCTTCTTTATCTTCTTTTCCAATTTTAACTTTACCTTCTTAAATTCAGTGTTCTTATTCGCCTTCTTCTTTGTAACTATCAAACTTACCCAAGCTGGGTATGCTGCTCATACGTCAAGTTTTGGTATATTTGAGACATGTGCACCAGTAATTCGTGTTTATGGAACTATCGTTCTCCCCTTTGATTATCATGTAAAAACCACTGAATATTCATATAAACAGTAAGCGAGATCCAACTTGATTTGGAAAGAAATGATTCCTACCATTTCTGGAGCACATGGTATTTTCCCATGTTTACTTGAGAAATCTGGTGATAGGCAATAGAACAGTTGTTATTTCATATTTAGCCTTCATGGGCACCATATATGTCATTTCTTTCTAACACATTCGTCACCATATATATTGGTTCGTTTTCTGCCAACATACGTTTGTTTTTCTTTTTTTCCTTCTTTTCTTTTTGTCTGTTTTCTTATTCTAACCTTTATTATTCTAACGAATTGAAGTCTTAATTTTCTACAATCCAACCTGTAGTTTTTTTCTACCTAGCTTTTCGAACTCCATGCTACTAAACAGAATGGAATTCGTCCTGCGTGCCGCAGTGATATTACCAATTATGTTCGTTTTGTTAGCGATGTTCGCTTACGTTAGAATTTCTAGGAATTCGAGATTCGTTTCTAATTTTTTTTTTGTAAAATTCGATTTTTGGCGGGATTAAAACGGCTCTGGAAAAATATAAACACTTCTACAGCGATGCGTCAAGGTTTTTTCTATGACCATCCTGCCATGTGGAAAAATTGTGTGCAGCTGAGGAAAGTTGTACAGAATAAATGGCAATTTTATTATAACATCAATGACTGCATTTTATAGTAATTGTACGCACAGGACCTTGCTTCGATTCCATCCCTGTCAAACCAAACTCAACGTGTAAGCTCAATGCTAATCTCCCTCACGGTCAGGATATCGGTGCCAAATTTGTCTGGGATCATTTCGCTCCTTGCTGCTTAGAAAACCTGGATACTGCACATGGTGAATAAATGGTAACGTCCCAGCACCTTTAATTCCAACGACAATCCACTCAACAATCCCAAGATTCTGAGGAAAATCGATTGAGCTAGCTTTCGTCGTCATTCTTGAAATGAAAAACGAATTCCTCAAATCCTAAAAGGTTTTATATCGGAGATACTAGTCTAGAGGAAGAAGGTCGGTAGCGTCCATCAATAGTCAATGACGGCTATCGGAATTCCATAGAAATTGACTCTTTATAAACTACTCGAGAGGTAACGGAAGAAGTTAATACTGGTCACTCAATAGTAAGTTACTGTTTGAAAAGAACTGAGAAGCTGAAAAGGCTCTACTGATGGGTGCCACATGAATTGTATGAAAAGCGAACATATCTCTGTGAAGAATTTTGGTAAATGCTTTTGCACAGAAGGCGACCCATTTTTCTGTTGCACTGTAACGTTCAGTAAAAAGTGAATCCTATTTGGCAACAGAATATGTTAAGTGTAGTGGTCGAACCTAAATAAACCTCCTAAACACCTCCCAAACTCGAATTTATATCAAAACAATGTTGAGGAGAATGTCGGATTGTTTGGAACGGGATTAAACCACGACGGCTTTCTGAATAGTGGTCAAAGGTTCACAAGAAAGAAGTGCTGTTGTAAAGTCGATAGACTATATAAGATATTTCAACGTTCATTTCCAGTTTCGGTTACTAGAATTCTTCCGTACGATAACACACGAGCACATAGTGTACAGCAAATGCTAGTTCGTAAGCGATGAGTTGCGCAGCGGTAGTGATGGCGATCACGGGAACGGTTCTAGCACGATCGTGAGCCGGCTTCACCAATACCACAACTCCTCCGCAGTTGGGAAATTGCTACCATACTTCTCTGGATTCACTATGTGCATTTCAAGTGGGAACGCCCTAGTACGGCACTTTCAGGACTCTACGGAGAATCGACTCGACCAGCACTCTGCGACACTCATAACGAAAGCAATTTCCTCCAGCAGTAGTCGAGTCCACAAACAAAAAGTTGGAAGACTTTTGTGGATGACGGATGCGAGGAAAGAAATCGAATGCATAAAAAGTGCTGGGATACATGCAGTAGGTGTGAAAGACGGGTCATGTGAGGAAAAGTGCTGCTTCGAAACTGCCTCACTCAACTACTCAGTGGCTGCATAGAATGCGTTCGAAAAATTCGTCCCTTCTAGAGTTTCAGAAATTTATGTTTTCAGATATGCATATCGCTCGAGAGAATGGATATATTCTGTTTACGCTGATACTTGAAAGCTTTGCATTCTTCAAGAATGTCACTGAATGTTGATCAAGCTGATTCTGAAATCCTGCAATGGCTCTACTAAAGTGGTCTCAGATGTTCACCACAGGCAGTGACAGGTTTTTATAGATAAAGTGGAGTTTTTCCCATACAAGTTTGCTGCCAATATGCTGCCTTTCGCACGTTTTGTTGGCTAGGGGCGATTTTGAACATGCGGCCATGCTTCTGTGTATGTCATTTCAAACACTTCCGATTCTCGCGCTGATGTTGATTCGAATGGTTTCTGCTTTAGTAGGAAACGTTAAGGTTGAGCAGAGTTACAGCATTGGAAAGCTGCCATTCGACATCGATCATTCCTTTTCCACCAATCAGTGCCATCGTATTACGTGATGATACCTACTTGGATGGCCCGCATTCACTGGTTGTGAGGGCCTCAGCATAATTTCCATAATTTTTCGTAGTTTTGCTGGTTTAACTATTGTGGTTCCCTGGAGTACCGAGTTCAGCCTAGCCAAAGTCTGCCCCAGGTCGTCACCACCACAGGCAGTCGCCGCCCTTGTGGATCAGAGGGAGATTTTCCACCATGCGACTAGTTTGATACCAAGATAGTGGTGGATCCTGGTATTGGTTTACTCTTAGCTGGGCTTCTAAATGGAAACGCCGAACTCCTTATCAGTCTGGAAGACCCTAATGGGGAGATGACCACGCGCTGTACTTCGCAGTCCGACAACCAGGAACACCTCGCAGCTACGATGAGGCTGCAAACCGTTGAGAGGATGTGGTGATACTACACTGGAAAAGTAAACAAGCGAAATTTTAAGTTGATAGAAAGTGAGTCAATCACAGGATTAAATTGATTTCATAAATCGAATTATCACACAACGCTAGTCAGTGTTTTTAGCAACGGACAAAGTTTTTCAACCATTAGGGAAGTTTAGCGGTTAGGAACTTCGCAGATTTATAGAACGGGCTTTTTTGTCGCCATAGGGTATATAAGATATTCACGGAATATTGCTTGCTGTTCTGAATTTGTTATTTGTTGGAACTTAAGAAAAGTGGAGTCAAATTTAAATTTTTGAAACTTTCATTGTAAACGCAACAGTAGCACACAGCGTTTATGTTGAACGGAGTTGTGAGAGTGTTAGGTCTTCCTTGTTATTTACAGAGTTTTGAAATCGTTATGTTCTGATCTGTTAATTTATATCTCCTCGAAGACATTTACCGCTGTCGTTCCTCAGGTGCTACCTGAAGTACAAGAAGGGATATTTTACTCCATATTTTTCCTTCAGGGTTTTAGTGCGTGCTTGTCGGACAACAGTCGATGTACTGGATGACCGTGGAAGGACACCTTGTGATTTAAGTCGTGACGAGCAGATGATACGACTTACTGCTCGTAGTGCTGATCATGATTTTGAAGAGCAGCGTACCCTTCCCAAAAGTGGGTGACATTCGTGTTTTTTCCGCATGTGTTTTACCACTTTTTTTCATTCACATAGGGGCCGTTGAACGTTACCATAGATATTTGTTTAGGTGCTGAAGATGTTGAACATGTGACGTCGACAGCTTTATGGGTGCTTACGAATGGAGAGACAGTCACTGGTGAACATCTACTACGGGATCCACCTCCAAGTGGAGCTGAAGTGAGAATTTTTGAGAAACGTAGCACTCTCAGAATAACAAACATATGCTTCTCTCACAGTCAAACTCTTAATTTCTTACTATTTTTCCCAGTTTAATTGCAAGCAATAGATTAGAGATGCTCATTAGGTTAAAGTATTTTGGTATCTTAAAATTGAATTTTATTGTGGGATCGAATATTTGGTGTCTAAAATCTTATCTGCAGGATTCAAGCTCAACTATTCTCAGCGAATCTCCTAACCGTAACCACAATCATTCTACACCAGGTACCAACAAGGTAGTTCGTTTATACATTAAGGAAGGCGCCATTTGATATTCTCTAAACCATTGCGCAACAAAGGGCGCGTGTAACACAGTGGTCGGAGGCGCCCTGCAACACATGAGACCGATCTCCACGCACAAGGCTAGCCAAGTTTCCCATCTTTCCGTGGTTGGCAAATTGGTACCAGATTTGTCTCGGAGGATAGCAGCACGGGTTGGATATATCGGTAGGCCACCGCGAGTCATTGTGAAGCCCAGATATGCATTCATTCACCTCCAACGATGCTTAGTGAATTCGAATGCATTGCGCCTTCCTCAGGGATTGCTTAATGCCGAGAACTTTTTTTAAGGCGCAATAAGTTAGGTATGTTATAGTGAATGAGGTGTAATTGGATTTTTACATATTCAGGAAAAGTGGTGCAATGAGCCACTTCATGTAGAAATATCAATGGATACGGATGTTTACGTGCCAGATTCGCCAAAAATGGCAGATCTATTTGAAGCCGTTACTAGGCAAGTTTTCAACGTAGTCTGTTAGTTGATGGTTATAATCTCACGCGCTTGATTGAAACAACCTTCTTTACCTTTTTGTGTCATCTGACAAAGTTTTTGCTTTGTTCAACATTTCGGTATGGGTGCTATATACAGTTGTAACTTGTCAAATCTACAGCTAATATCTTTGTTCACTTTCATGTTTTTAACAGCAAATATACATGGGCAGATGGTGCAACGGTGGTGATACGATGGTTCATTATGAGTAAGCAGCTGGTTCAAGTCCGCCTTCTGCTCAACAAGCCTCACAACCCACCGGGGTCTTGAAATTGGCACCAGATCTGGGCTCTGCCCACTCTTTCGAAGACATCCAGGGACGCCATTGCACTGCTAGATCAGAAATTCAGGGCGAATCAACTCCACCGGCATTTAACGACGTTTGTGAAGAAGGCGAAGATCCCCAAGCAACAGCCGAACGTAAAATCCTAATACTTTTGTGGATGATGAGTGTAAGAAAGCCCATCATTAATATACGAAAAGTGCTGGGATCCCTAGCAAGCGAGGTTGGCCGTATCATTAAACAGAAACACAGGACATGTCTAACACTTCTTACTCTCAAAAAGTAAAAAACACATTATAAGCTTGCTCTTTAAAAATAGCTGCTTACTGGCTCTCATTTGCATTTTATTCGTTTGTACACAAACTTCTGCATAATAGAACGATACAAAAGTGAACAAGCGGTTTTGTTAAAGGTTTCTTTCCTTGAATGCTTAAATGGTTAATCTTAACGTCGAATCGTTCCTGCTATGGCGCATTTTTCATTTAGTTGATATTTTCCTGATTTGATAAGGGTATCTATACAGGAATTCTGAGATGCGTGCTGTCCCATGACGTTCTTAGGTGTCTACCACATAAAGTTATTGGCTATTATGAATTGAAGGAAGGAGAGGGAGTTTAAGAACTCACTGTCAGATTTTTTCTAGGCGAATTCAATTTCTAGGAATGCTCTTAGATGTACCTTTGGGTAATCCTGCATATTCGGATGGCGTTCTGAGAAAGACGAATCCCATCAACCCAGGGCGACACTCAGAAAGGCAGGAGGCGTGGGCTCCGATGATTTCTTGCTTTAACTCTGAAAGTAGCAATTCGTATTTTCAATGCGTCTAACGTCTCGGAGACATATTTTCATAGCATTTTTAAAAACTAAACCGTCTTTACTCCAGCCCTAGTATGCCAAGTGATGGTGTTCGAGCGAAAATGGCGTTATTGGCACAGCAAATAATTGATGCTATACCAGATCGCATAAAGGTTTGTTGCGAACTACTTCACACATGTTCAAATTTATCGTTTACCGAAGAAACTAAAGCGGACAATGACTTAAAACGCGAGTGAGCGCTACTTCTACTCAGAATGATTCTCATCCACTTCTCGAAGACGAGACTACGAATGCAGAAGTTGGCACACATTCCTCATTCGCCTATCCAGATAACAACCCTTTTCTTTCTCATCTCACTCATGATTGCCCTGATGAATGGGATTTCCAGCAGTACTTTTCCAATAACCATTACCAGTACGTTTTCATGTTGTGTTTCGTCAGATTTTGCGATTTCTCTATACAAAACGTTTTAAGCATTAGTATAGATACCTTTAGAATTTGACGAAGAAATACTTTCAGTAAATCGAAAAGGCTATACCATTATTGTAAACCGACTTTCATTTAACCTTGATATGGAATGATCAATGCTCCTTATTTTATTAAACTTTGGTAACAATTTCTTGCAATTTCATGAATGAAACACTTACTTGGACATGTGGATGGACTGTCTTCGGAGGTTGTGCGGGACCCAGCATAATCTCCATTTTTCGGAGATTTGCTGGTTAAGCCATTATGGTTCTCTGGAACCCCGAGGTTAGCATGGCCAAAGTCTGTCCTAGGTCTTCACAATCACAGGCAGTCGCAGCCCTTGTAGATCAGAGGGAGATTTATCATCATGCGAATTTGATACCAGGACGGTGGTGGATCCTGGTATTGGTCTCATGGCTAAGCTTCCTGATGGAAACGCCGGACTCCTTCTCAGCTTGGGAGACCCTGTCAGGGGATAAATCGGCGCTGTACATCGCAGTCCGACACCTGGGAGTACATACCACCCACGATGAGGCGGTAAACCGTTGGGATATATATATACATATATATTTATATATTTATGTATGTGGCTGTTATTGTAATTGTTGTAATCATGTATTCTATATTATGTACATGTGTACACATATTATTACTTCACATCTCGGCAGTTTAACAGAATTTCTACGGACAAATCTCCCGATGATGTGCTTTCATCATTTTCTGAACAGCCTTCAAGTTCTTCCTTTTTTCATCGCCCTATATACCCAAATAAGGTACATTTAATACTGTCGCTGAAATTTATTGTGGCTATCAAGTTACGAAGGAAAACTTTGGCTTTTTCAGGGTGAAAACACCTCATTTACTTCATCACGGGAAAATACTTTGGAGAGTACCAGCTTCGATTTTGACAAGTTAGTATAGTTCATCATACATTTATGTATAAGACTGGGACATAAGTTTATGATAACGTTGACCGCGTTGGCACTTTTTATTTTGTTTGTTCGGACTACATCTTTATTCAACGATATATTCGTAGTACTGGTGAAAAATATCCTGCCGTTTTTTTTGAGTAGCTGGTCCAAAATCTCCTCATAGGATGACGATGGTTTCAGCTCGAAGAAGTTTACAAGGGTATTTTAGAGGTTCTCGTACTGGTTGATTTTCTTATCCCTCAAATGATGCTTTGTATCTGTAGGGAACATGTCCAAGCTTTACGTTGGATTTTACAGGATGTGCCCACTCTTTTCCAATTATCATTGTTCGTTATGACATGAGAGCAAACATTATTATGCAAAGGCAGATGCCAGGTTGACTAGGTCGTAACGAACTACCTAGGAAGTGAGTACATGCAGTTGCTCTTTGTAGCCGTTGTCTTTGAACATCTAGTTCTACTCCAGCAACCTTCAGGACGTCATGCCCTGTGGTTCTTACAAGACAGGTAGCATTACCTCACAACTGTTTGCATTGGTTTTCGGTAGAGCTGGCGACCGAATGTTGTTGGGAACATAGGAAGTCAACCGGCTGCTACATAAGGCTCGTTGTTTCCATCGTGCACTCAAGTTTTACCTTCAACAATGGTTCCTCTCAGTATGTCATGCTAGTATGGATCAAGCGAGAAAAAGTTTAACAGAGAAAAAATCTATTCCATTGTCGTGAAAACAACTCGAGTGTGTGTAAAAAAATCATTCACTAGATAACAAACCTATTCATAGCGTACATTCGAACAATTTTCAAAGAATTATTAGAGTCAACAAATGTTGAGTGTTAGTGATCCATTTATCACGTAGAAAAGTTAACCTAGCGCTCTTTCAATCTTCCCTTGAGACCATCAAACTTCAAACCCATGCGGGGTAGACAACTCTGTGGTGGACTTGTATGGAAAAGGCCCAGTCTTTCTTATTTGGGTGGGAACGACATTCGTAATGAAGACGATAAAAAATGGTCAAGTAGCAGACGAACCTACAAGCAAAATGTTGGAAAACCTTCGTGGATAATGGATGCAAGGGAATAAATCGAATGGTAAAAGTGCTGGGATCCGCACAATAGATATATGGACGAATCATACAAAAACGTGGATCTTGGTTTTAGCCTTCCATTAATTGGTCAAGAGTTGAATGCGGTGTAACTGGTCGTACATCCATCCTCTTAATGTCGGGAGCAGGAAGTTGGCTGAGTTTAAGTTTTTAGTCAATTCCCAGTCTATGATTGGAATTTCAATCAAACGAATCTCCTTTTGTGTTTCTGGTCAAGTAAGCAAAGTGTAGTCTGTTTTAAATTATTTGTTTGGGTTACTCCACTACCTGAACAACTATTTTCGACAATATAATCCTTTACTAAAGTGGCTGAAGAGGGTATGTCTGGTGTATCGAAAAAGGTTACTTTGCGCTATCGAGACGAACAACGGTTCTCCCTCATATGAGGGATCTCGAGCCGGTTAATCGTGGACCAAAAGCGACCTTTTCTTCTCTGAGACGCAGGTGGATCCAGGGTATGTACTCCTTGTTTCTACTGCGCCAATTTAGCACATGCGTTATGTATTTACAAAGACATATGAATGCGTGCATGGGTGTGTTCTTTACGCGGACTCTATTCTACGAGTCAATTCGGCCAAAAATCTGCAACCAAGTGAAGAGAAGTATGTGGAAGGCGGTTAGGAATCATCTCCGACAAACAAGTTCCATCTCTATGGGACAGACTGGCAAGCTACCCGATGGTATACCCAAACACCACGTCCACAGCTCAGCAAGCTATACGTGGGTATCAGAAGGCTAAACACAGCACGGAATAAACGGGCTTCATTCCTTTGAAACCAAAACAGCCTCCAATTCGGCAGCGTTGGGTAGCGCGAGCACAAAGAGGCTGCTAGAATCTCAGGACCATTTTAGGCTGCCTAAATCGCAAAGGACTACGGTGATGATCTGTACGTACAATGAACGCACATTCGCATCTGAGTCTTCGATAGAGGACTTGCTTATGGAAGCAAGAAAGATAAAGTACGACGACATCGGCCTGGCCGAGATGAAAAGACACCACCCATTGAACACCGTCTATGACGTCGGAGAAGAACTGCTCCTCGGTTTATACAACAGCAGAGGAGTTGTCGGCGTTGGTTTTTTCATCTACGAATTTGCCCATTAAAAACGTTTTATTCGAACAACTAACAAACCAAATCGGGCGTTTACGATTGAAGAAGTGTGGATTAATATCGCTTTTGACAATTTTGGTCGTTTACGCAGCGTCATCAAACTACGACGAAGAAGAAGTCGAAGCGTTCTATATAAACTTGGAGAAATTCTACAGAGAAGACTCCACATTTTTTACGGTCATCATTGGAAACTTAAACGCTAAGATTGGAACCGGAAGAACATCGCATTAGGACCTTCGGATCAGAATGGAACGTGCAGTGTGAGTGTCTTTATGAGTCTGTCATGACGAGCAAGGTTTTCCATGATAATTCCTAATTCCAGAAAACCCACCATCAAGATCGGACGTGAGAGTCATCCATTGGAGAGTGCTGTAACGAAATAGACTGCGTAATTGTAAATAAAAGTTTTGCCCAGCCAGTGTCTGTGTTGTCCCAAAATTCTGCACGGGATCAGAGCATCGCCTCCTATGCGCACGATATCCCACAAAAAGGAGAAAACACCGCTAAATTCAAAAAACAAAGTCCAGAAAGCATCACAAATTGGGACTTATTCACTTCATTAGTCGACTATTGGGACTATTCCGGTTTCGATAACATCAACATTGAATACGATCGGGTCATTTAACATCTTCACTTAAGCGCTATGAAAGCTGAGAGTTTGGAAGTCTCTAAGAGACGTCTGTCTCCAGAAGCACTCGAGCTGACACGCCAGTGTGGAATCGCACGGCTGCAGGCAACCGTTAACTCTCGTCCGAATTTGCAAAGCAATGCAGACAGACGGTAAAAGAAGATCTCAAAGAAAGAGCCGTAGTTATGGTCGAAGCTGCAGAGACTGGAAAAAGCATTCGCCGAGTCCACCGAAGCTTCGTAAATTACAAAACCAAGATGATTGTCGAGCAAAGATCACTAGGTCTATCTTTTTGAATAGTGAGAAGTTTTTTATCATTATAACTTCGGAACTTCAGTCGTTCATACCGTTCGATTTTCACTTCTATCAGTCATTGCAACACTGCGGGTACGAACATGAATGACGTCGAAATCCTACATACTGTATGAACTCAGGAGTTTAAAATAAAAACTAAGGCGATGAATTACCCTCAAAATGAGCTTCTGTCATCGAAAATGTGGACTACTAACTTTTTTTGCAAATTAAATTCGACATCTCATAGTTTCTGTTGAAGTTTCTTTCTGTCCTTGCAGAACTCAGTTATCTCCTTCCAAGAAATTGCTTCATCTTAGGAGTGAAATATCCTAATCGTTGTCAAGACAGTATTAGTCGAAAATCCAGCTAGCATTTGTTGTAACTTTCTGTGCTATTTAATGAACTTACCTTCAGGGATCTTGATGAATTTTTTAACATGCGAGTGGATAGGGAAGAAGATCCGATACGCCAACGTT